ATGCTAGAAGACACCAGGGAGCTCCCATGGGGCTGAATTTGGGCTCCCAGGTCTCGGGTTTTGCTCTATCCCTCCTTTCCCCACCAGCTCTGGTGCTTTGGGCTCTCACCTGCAGGAATTGGCTCGGCGGCTGCTGGAATTTCCCTTCCATCTCCCAGATCAGGGTGTCGAGGTGGGACATCTCCTCCAAGACCTTTGCCACTGCTTCCTCCTGGACCCTGGTGATGGCCCGGTCCAGCTCTGCCAGCTGGGTCAGGAGGAGGCGCTCTTGGACCTTCAAAAATTGGTGCAATTGCTCGAATTCACACACTATCTTCTTCCCTTCATTTTTGGTTTTCTCCTGCCAGGATCAGAGATGAGGGCAAAGGGGATGAAAGAGGGGCAGGAGACCTCCCCGTGCAGCAGAAGGCATGGCGTGACCTCTCTACGACTCTAGCACCTGAAACACTGGCAAAAACCTCCCACGTGGATTATTTTTACATCGTTCTATTAGTGTCACATCTCTGAGGCTGACACAGTCTGTGGGGCTGCAGCAACCCCAGACCTTTGCAGAAGGAATCACAGCAGTCTCAGGTGAAGCTCTGCAAGATGGGCAGGAGGTGATGGGGGCTACCAAAAAATCCCAAGAAAAAGAGATCAGTGCTTCAGGGTGAGCAGGCTGGTCTCAGGATACCATGGCCTCAGTGATATTCAGTCAATACAAGGGTGAATTTAACAGCAAACCATCTTGCTGGAGGTTTAGGCAGTAGCAGGGACTATTCAGGAGGCTTAGCCTGGATGCAGAACCAAAAGATGTAACCTCAACTGGGCTCTATAAGAGGGAGATTTATAGAGTTTAGGGGGAAAAAAACCTTCCAGCCCATCTGTCTCTACCAGGCTGGAGGCTGTCTGCCTGCCCAGCTCCCTTGCAGAGGAGCTGCAATGTTATCTCCCTGGTGCAGGCTCCAGCTGATGGGAAACCCCAGCAGATAAACACAGGGTTGGCCGGTGCCCAGAGCAAATGGCATAACACTCTGCAAACCAAATATGCAAGATCTGGCCTCAAAATACACCAGCAATGCTGGGGTGATTGGAGAGACCCACAGTCTCCCAGGCTCCTGCTGGAAGGTACCTACCAGGTACGAGCTCTTCCTTACTCCCGTTTTTCTCCTTTCCAGGTATTTTTCTCTCTCCTCCTTTAAAGCCTGTAGGCGGCCTTGGATTTCTTCCTGAGCAAAAAGAAAATATGTTCTTGGAGGAGCTGAGAAAAATCCTTTTTCTCCACTAAAATTACTTCTGCCCTCATCTTAGATGGGAGAGGCTTTGCCTAAACGCTGGCTCCTCTGCAAAGAGCAGAGCTGGAGGGGGAAGGTCCAAAAGCAACCTATAATGTTCTGAAGATCTGTGCAAAGAAAATGCAACCTGCAAACACCAATCTTGCTGCAAGCACAGGGAAAAATTCTGCAGAAGAGCAAAGCGCCAACAGTAATCAATAGCCCATGTCCTGGGAAGCGTGTAAGAGCAAGATAAGCGCGTAGTGAGATTTCCCTCAAAAACACTCACAGCCTCCAGAAATTGGTGGCTCTGGGATAAATATCTCTGTATTTAATAACCTTCAGTGGATTTATTTAGCATGCATTTATATAAGAGCTTTTTGAACCCACAGAAACCTTCAGCATCAGCAACATCTTGCAGCAAGGAGTTCCTCCTGTTAACGCTGTGCGATGTTGCACCGTGGTTGCACGGCTCTGCCAAGTGCTCGACCTTTTGGTGAGAAAGATGATGAGAACGTAAAAGGAGCAGAGCAGGAGAAGAGATAGGGAAAAGTTATTTCTCTGTATTTGAAACTAGAGAAACAGTGAATAGGGGAACAAATACGCAAAATTGCCCTCAATAACTGATGCAACCATGTTTAAAAAAAAAAGGAATTTGGGGGCATTTTTACATGTTTTGAATATTTATGATGGTATTTCAGTACAGTCAAGTCAATAGCAGAGTTCAAAGAGGGAAAAGGCCAACAAGTTATTTTTTTAATTTCTCCCAGGCTGTTGGCAAAGACGAATAAATTAAGGGGCGAGGGGAAGCCCTGACAGGAACATTGTAAAAAACAAATGTCCGTGCAATAAAACGCAAACAGGAAGCACGTGGGCAAGTGACACCCAAACATCCCCGTTTGCGGCTGCGCCACGGCGGTGCACGGAGAGCGGCTGCACCTGAACGGCTGCACTTTGCACCTGGAAAGGGATTTGCCATGAGGTGGGGAGGTGCAAGCACATCCCCAGGCTTTACCTTATATTCCTGGGCAGCTTCGTCAATGGGGACCACGGTGTGGGAGCGGTGAGCCTGGGACCTGTCGCACACCACACAGATGGGCTGCTGGTCCTCCTTGCAGAAGAGCTTCAGAGCCTCCCGGTGCTGCCTGCATAAATTCTCCCATCCCTCTTCTCCTCCTCCTGCCCGCAGGCTCAGCTGCCTGGCGATTTTGGCAATATTTGCCAGCTCCCTGCTGGGACGGAAACTCTTCTGCGAAGCCGTCTGCCTGCACTGCGGGCAGGAGAAATGTGCCTCCAGCCCTTCCCAGCAGCGGGTGATGCACGTCCGGCAGAAGTTGTGGCCGCAGTGGATGGAGACGGGGTCTTGGAAATAACCCAGGCAGATGGAGCAGGAGGCTTCACTGTGCAGGCTTTCTGCTGGGCTCTGCGTAGCCATGGCTCTTCCCAACCTACCTCCAGGATAGGATTAAATGAGCTTCGCTTTGCAGGAAGAAGAGGAGGATGTTCCTCCTTCTGGCTCGGCCGTTTTCTTGTTGCAAACGGGGGAAATCAACACCCAGCCCTAACGCCACGAAACGGCAGCATGGGCCGCTCGAAGAGGAGTGAGAAGAGAGCGAGCACGCGCAATGCTTCCTCCTCGCCTCCTGCCACCCTCCCATCGGTTTTGGTTCAGTTGACTTTCTGAGCCAGATGTGAGTTAGCAGATAGGAGGCTGGAGGGCAGGGCTGCTCTTCAGCAGGACCAGGACGGGCTGGCGAAGTGGTTGGGGAGAAATCTCATGAAACTCGGGGCGGGATACCCTCTTGCACCAGGACCAACCCTGGAGCAGGACTTTGGGGTCTTGGGAGTGACAAGCTGTCCATAAGTCAGCTGTGGGACCATGCACCAAAGCTATCAATCCCATACGGGGCTGCACTAGCAAGAGCAGAGAGGGGGGGGGATTGCTCCCCTCCATCAGCACATGTGAGGCCAGATCTGGGTGCGGGGACCAGTCTGGGGCTTCCCAGTACAAGGCAGACAGCATCAGGCCACAAAACTGAAGCCCAGGATTGATGGGGAGAGATTGGGATTACCCAGCCTGGAAAGGAGAAGGATCAAATCACCGTCTGCAACTGCCTACCAGGGTTAGAGAAAGGACAGAGCCAAACATCAGATCTCTCCATGCCTCTCATTATAACCTTTTAATTCTTTAATTATCCATTTAGGCTGATTAAACAGAGCTCCTGGGCCCATAGTCATCCTTGCCCTGCTTTTATCTGCTTTTCTAGGCATCTACTTGTGGGGACAGGACAAGACTTGATGGACCTTCATCTGAACCCCTGTGTCTGTTGTATGTTCTCAAGGAAAAAGTCCAGTCTCTTGCGTGACTAAAACTCAGTGTATCAGGGATCACACTGAGCCGACACCAAAAGGAGCAGTCCCATTTCTATGTGTTTATTCCCAATTCTGCCTCCCCTTATACACTGAGTCAGGATCCAGCTGAGCTGCAAATGACTCCAACTCCTGGATTGCTGCTGACTTTTCACCACCTCTATTTTCGCTGACTCGCTATGTTTGACAGTGTAGAAAACTCAGGTTTATTGTCTCCCTGCGCAGTGGGTTTTAGAGAGGAATGAGGAAGATTTTTCCTTCCTCCAGTTGTTTTAAGTAACTTCCAATATAATCCTGCAGAAAAAAAAAAAAAAGAAAACACACAAGGCAGAAATTGCTTAGAATTGCACGCTTACTTTTCATTCCCCATCGGTGCAAGTTTGCAGGCACCCAGCAAAAGTCACTTAGGGATTAAAACATCAAAATATATTTTAAGGCACAGAAATGGTCTCATTTTCCACTAAAGGAAGCGAACTTGAACACCGCTACCCTTTCATTTGAGGCTTGGGCTGGAGGGAAGATGTCCTCGATGGCAGAGCAGGTGCCAGCTCCAGCAGCTATGTATGTATTTTACGTTAAACGTGTAAATAATCATTGAGGTTGGGATATGCCTGGGGAGTCCTCCGTCCCTTGATTCTTGTTCTAGGTTGTCCCTGGCTTATGGTCTCTCTGGTCCCGCCAATTCCCTTCTGCCCAGTAGCTCCATCTCCAGCTATGGTAGCATCTGGGATGGAGAGATGGGTCTAGGGCTGTCCAGACCCTCCAGGCCAGGACAGGAATTTCTGGAGGATCATCAGAGCGCGGAGCCATGCAAAAGCTTGGCAGAGCTCCTGCTCCACACTACATTTTGCGTAGTCCACGTTTGTTGTAGCACCTGGAGCCACAGAGGCTTATGGTGGAATTGGGACAAAACTCAGCCCCTGGTTTGTTTCCCAGGGGTGAGTGGATGGGGCTTTTGGTTTTTTTCCCCTGCACCTTGGGAAAAAAGTCACCTCCCTTTTTTTTTTCTTTTTTTGTTTGTTTGGGTTTTTTTAACCAAGGTCAAGGAGATTTCAGGGAGCTGTGGGGTAGGAGAAGGGCTGAGGATCTCTCTCTTTTTTTCCCCCTACTGATCTTCAGCACAGCTGATCTTGATAAGGGACCCACATCCTGGAGGAGAGAGCCATTTACGGCTGCTGGATAAACAAACCCTCATGAGGCTCAGCAACCCCGTGGTATTGCAAATCGTGAGGTTAAAAGGTTACATGGGGATTGTGGTGGTGAGAAATCCTATGCATCTGTTTCTTACTCTTCCCTGAGCCTCTGCTCGTGGATGAACCCTGGGGGAGATGACCCCTGGGTCCCCAAGAGCATGGCTCTCCGATGTCCACCTCTTCCTCAGGGCAGGTAATGCCACTTCAATAGCTGGTATCAAGAGACAAGGGTGGGTGAGTCCACAGGCGGTTTATCCCACAGCCCAAAGGCTATAGATGTATCTGTACCCATCAAGAGCTGCAGCACCAGGAACTTCTGGCCCTTTGTGCATCAGTGTGCCCAAAAACCCCTCACCTTGTACACCTGGGCAGCCTCGTCCATGGGAACCACGGAATGGTTACGGTGCACCTTGGACCTGTCACACACCACACAGATAAGCCTCTCCCCGTCTTCGCAGCAGAGCTTCAGGGCTTCTTGGGGCTCCTTGCACAAGTTCTCCCCTCCTTCCACCTCTCTGGTTGCAAGTTCAACCTCTTGGCTACTTCAGTGATGCTGGCCAACTCCCAGTTGGGTCAGAGGCTCTGCTGGGGCACCGTCTCCCTGCAGCGCAGACAGGAGAAGTTGGGGGTCAGTCCTTCCCAGTTCCAAGTGATGCATGCCCGGCAAAAGCTGAGCCCGCAGTGGATGGACACAGGGTCCTGGAAAAGTTCCAGGCAGATGGAGGGGGAGGCTTCATCCTGGAGACTTTCCACAGACGTCTTGGCTGCCATGGAGAGCGACCAAGTTTGTTTCACTTTCGAATGATCAGGAAGGAGAGAGGTTTCTCTTCCTGATTCTAAGCCATTGGTTAAACCGAGATCCAGCCCGTTTCTAGCAGGGCTTGAGGCAATATATTTACTTATATTGCTTTGCCAGTGCTGGGAAGTAGCGGTTAGCTGGGAAGGAAGAGACCTGGAGGTGCCCATCCCATTTTTACCCTTTCCCCAAGGCACTGGGATTTTTCAGTGTCCAAAGCCTGTCCTTTGAATCAGTGGAGACCTGTGGATTTGGTGACTCAACAGCAGCTAGAACAGGAGTTTCACACCCTACTAGCACCTAAGAGAGGTTGTGGTGCAGCTGGGGTGGGAGACAACCACTGGCTGAAAATGCTTCTGAGATATCAGGGAGTGACAGGACCTAGCCAGGGCTTGGGAAGGATCTCAGCACCCTTCAGGACAGCATCTGTAGAGCTATTTGGGAGGACTCTACCATCTCTTGGGTGACCCTAAGGGTTCAAATGTACAATTCACTGCAGGGCAGGGCCTTCTTGGCTGTCAGAAGAAATTTCTGCCACTCCTGACCCCTGGGACATCAGCTTTGCCCTTGGGGTAAAGTGGGACATCAGAATAACACCCTGCAGAGGCTGCTGTGGGTCAAAGATGCTCACGTGTCCTTGGAGATTGCTGGTGCCTCCAAGACCTTGCAAGGTCCCAGCAGGTTTCTCTGATCTGCAGAGACACAACTGAGAGTCCGGACTGATGCTTTTCCTTCCTTTTCCTGCTCTTTAAATGCCCTTACTTTCAAAAACTGTTGGTGTCCCTTCTTTCCAGCATCATTTGTTTGCCATTGCCTTTCAACCAGTTTCCAGTCCAGCTGGTTTTCAGGCACATAAGCAGGAAGAGTCATTGCTATTCCCTCTCACCACAGCTGTGATGAAGCAAGAAAGGATTTAAGTGCTTTCGTTTGAGCTTTACAAGAAACAGGTCAAGAGAGGGCAGCAAAGCCACCAGGGTTTGCCATGCTGGTGGTGGCACAATACCATTTTCCCAGTTTGTCTCTAACAAGAAAGAGAAAGTGGTCCTCGAAATATAGAAAGACACTTTAATACAGTCATTTTTGCATATAAAAATCCTCTTTTCCCTTCTAGTAACTAAACCAGGAACAAAAGCCAGCTTCTTCAGCCCTGCAGGAACATCATTACTGAATGTCAACAGTCAACACTGCTGAGTATCAAGGTAAGGAAAAACTGGAAAGGATGGGAGAAGAGTAAAAGGGATTAAAGCCGTGAAATCGGTGTCCCGGGGGCTGTTGCACAAATTACAGGCTTCCTTTTCCTGCTCATCCCAGGGTGATATTCCCTGGCAAAATCTTGGAGAGTACCCAAATGTTAAAAAATCCAGAGGTTTGCCCAAGACGATCCCTTCTCACCCTGCTGCTCTTGAAAACCCCATGAGAATGAGATTCACAGTGGACACCAGGACTCATTTGCTCCACTTTATTCTTTACCGTCCATAGAATTCCGAAATATAGTGTGGTTTCCTGCATCAAACCAAAGGCTTGTCCAGAGCATGTAACGTCCATCTTGCTGCCCATGCTGTCTCAGGGAGCCAGCTGGATACTGGACTCCCAAACCCAGAAGAAAGGCAGGATTTTCTCTCCGTTGAAAGAAGTCAGAGGAAAAGCAAAAGCCAAGGTCTCGTTATCAGCATCGAAGAAAGCCACGTGTCCCTTCTCGTAATCCAGAGAGACCCGGATAGTCCTTGGCCTCCCATTCAGAGGCTGAACAGTTTCGAAGGAGGTGAAAGCTTGAAACCTGTCCCCACAGATGCCAACAGCCCAAATCCCCTGGGAAGGGTCAAGGTTAATCCAACCCTTTCTCCACGCTGAGTCTCTGGCCACCCCCACAGCCCAAAATCCCCTGCTCCCCAGCTGCACTTCCCAGTAGTGCCTCCCCACCGTGAAGCCTTCAGAACCCAACACGGAGCAGTAGGTATCAAATCTCTGGGGACTGTTGGGCAAATTCTGGGGCGTTTCATCCCACCTCACGCTCCTCCGGTCCTCGGAGAGGACGAGGTGGGGGTTTGCTGTGTCTGGATCCAGAGTCACGTTTGCTGATGGGAAGGAAAGCATGAGAGAAGAAAAACAGCAGGTCAGAGGGAGGGCGATGGATATTTCTCTCCATCTGCACCCTCCTGTTTTTTTTTCCAGGGGTGAAATCTTGGCCTGACCAAAGCTGTTTAGTAAGGGCTTTCTCCATGAAATATGCCGTACAGATCTATGTAAAGGCTCTAATGATTTGTACTATTTTTAATTCCAGTCAAAGGGGAATAGAAATGCATCTTGCCAGCCCACCAGGAAAATGTGAATTCCCTGCTTCTGCTGTCTTTTCTTGCTTGGGTCCCCTTTTTTACCCCAGTATACCTCCAGTCTCCCGTGACTTACCCCACTGCACATCCAGTTCAACTGGAAGACTCTCTGGAAGGAGAGAGGAGGAGAGAAGTGCTGTTAGGTTGTTGTTTTTTTTTTTTTTTTTATGGGGGAGAGGGAGTGTATTAGAAATGGGTAAATATGAGGAGGTGCACTTTTCCCCTCACAAAACAAAATCACCAGGTGAACAAGTCCAGCTCGTGGATAGATGGACCTTCAAGCCCAATATGACCAGCTTTATGAGGGTATTTCTTTAATTCAGAGTTGACTGCACCAATTACTAAGTGGAGATCAGCGGAGGGAATGGGACAGTTATCTGAACATGGCGAATGGTCTCAAAATAGCTCATTCAGGGCTTATCGACGTATGCACCACCATCCGTTTGCAATATGTTGACTTTTCATGCTGACTCCCTCGCAGATGGCTAGACATTACCTACAGCCTGTTTGATTTAACTGGGCCTGGAATCAAGATTTTGATTCATTTCCTTCGTGTAGCTAAAGGGAGGGGCTTGCTCTAGTCCTTCACATTACTCAAGCATTCAGACACATGTGCAAATATGCCCGGGAACACAGTTACCCTCCCTCTTCCAGCTCCAGCCCCAGATAGGAGGGTTATTGAGTAACTCATCATTAGCATTCCTTAGCTAGGGTTTTATGCTGGTAATTGGCTAGTGTCCACTCCTTTCCAGCTGCAGAAATGTGTTTAGATTTTCCCCTTCCTTTGTACCTTTGAATTTCCTCAGGGCTTCCTTCAGAACGATGTTCTTCTGAGATAAATCCTTGAGTCTCTCGTCCACTCTGGGAAACTTCTCTGTCAGTTGCTGGAAAGTCCTTGCTTCACACCTGGAAGGAGAAGACTTTTGTATTCCCTCCTTGCTGAATGAGCTACATAGAAACCCTGCTTAGAAAAGCTGCTGGGTGAGCTTGTTTCTCCCCAAGCATCAGGTTGAGTCGGTTGAGACATTGCTGGGCATATCAGTGGTCCCAATGTCCCTGTGGAGGACGCACGCTTGCTCTGGACCTCCTCGATGGTGGGTATTGGCTTCCTCCAGCTGAATGGAGAAGGTGGTGGGACATGATCTCACCCCAGGCCCATCTTCTCCCCAGCTTCTTCCTCACCCTGAGCACTGGGGACCCTGGTAGAGAGGACAACCCCTCCTGCTCCCCCATTCCTGTCCGCTTTGTGATACTGTGCCGGGGACAACTGTCCCCTCCAGAAAGGGAGAGCCACGTACCTGGTCAAGGCACTCCTGGCATCCTAAAGGAGAGAGAAGATGGGAATTAAACTTTGAGCAATCTTCAGGCCCGTTTATATCTCTTATCTCCCTCAGCTGTTGTTTGCAAGCACGTTTTGCTTGATTTAGACTTTCTTGTGCCAGCACAGAGCAAGATCAGGGTACGTCTCGTACTCATGCAGTGGCCCGTTTGGTCCCTGACTAGAACAAACGCTCAAATACAGCTGGTGGAATATCATGTCCACTTCCAAACACTGCTTCTGCTTGTGTCCTGCCTGATGTGGTCTCCTGGGGAGGGAGAGTGTGGTCCTATGCTGGGTAGCCTCGTCTTGGACTTAAGCCAGGATTCATTTATTAGCTCTTGCCACAGTCCTGCAAGATGCGCATCAATCTCCCTTGCTTTGCCTAGGGTTGGGAGGGAAATAGGTGGTGGACGCTTCCAAGATGCTGAAAGACTGATTCTGTGGTCTTCCTCCTCGTGGGTTAGATATGACATAGCGTAGCTCATTAACGTTGACATACAATGTACAATACGGCTTCTTCATGAAATGAGCATCTAAATAAACTACTCAAAATGTCAAGGCAAAGAGGCTGGGGAGAGGGGGAAGAGACCACCACCGCAAGGGCACAGTCAGAGCATTGCAAACTCCATTGCCCAACTCCTCGCTCTCACCTGCAGGGATTTATTCTCTGGCTGTGGGCTCATCCCTTCCAGCTCCTGGATGAGGTTGCCCAGGTGGGAGATCTCCACGGATATCTTCCTATCGTTCTCAGTCTGGGTCTGCACTATCTGCTTCTCCACATCTTCCAGCCACATCAGGAGGAGACGTTCCTGCTCATCCTGGAACTGGTGCAGCTGTTTAAACACCAACTTGATTTTCCACCTCTCGGCTCTTGTCTGCTGCTGCAAGGAACAGATGGGGAGGGATGAGAACAGAAGAAATGAGAGACCTACAAAGCCTAGTTAAATAAAACAGGAGCAAGGACTGGCCCTGAGGCCAGTCTAAGCCCATAGCACATGGCTCTGGATCCCCTTTGAGCTTTGTGATGTGATACCCTGTGGAGTTATAAAATACTTCTGGCCTTTTTTGGGGGGTGTTTTCATTTTTCAGCTCGAGAAACATGAGGGCAGTGTTGCTTCATGTTTTTCCCACAGCCTGGAGGAGACCAGGCGTTGCATGCGGGCATCTGCGAGTGTTTGATGGGACAAATCCTGCTGGGATAGTGTTTGACGACACTGGGGTGAGAGAAGGATCCAGTGGTGAGGTCCTGCGGAGGCTGTTGGAAACAATCTCTGGTATGTGCAATTGCCCAAAACTCCCGGGTGTTGGCATTGAGGGCAGTCGC